AGCTGCACACTCATGTGAATGATGGCACTGAATTTGGAGGGTCTATCTACCAGAAGGTTAACGAGAAGATTGAAACGTCAATAAATCTTGCTTGGACGGCTGGCAGTAACAATACCTGTTTTGGCATCACTGCTAAATACAAGCTGGATTGTAGAACTTCTCTATCTGCTAAAGTAAATAATGCCAGCCTGATTGGACTGGGTTATAGTCAGACCCTTCAACCTGGTGTCAAACTGACCCTATCAGCTTTAATCGACGGAAAGAACTTCAAAGCAGGAGGTCACAAGGTTGGGTTGGGATTTGAACTAGAAGCTTAATGTGATTTTGAGTAAAGCATTCGATTTGTCCCTGGAGGTGAAGAGAACCCACTATGTTTTAGCCTTAAAACTCTGTGAAATTTCAAAAGTGTGAACTTTTATTCTTCCAAAGAATTGTAATCCTCCCCACACTGAACTCTAGAGATCGCAAGTCCATCCTAAGAGAGGTACTTGAAGCCATGCCTGGAAGTTGTCATGTTTGTGCCACATTTCAGTTGCGTTCCGCAGTGTTATTTTAAATGTGTTCCTCAGCGACAATGTAGTGTCATGTTACAAAGGAAATGACCCAATCCTCCTGTTTGTACATCACGTCCTGCATGTCCCACACCACTTTTTCATGACTTTTTAACATATCGATCTCTGTGCTGTAGTGGAATCTTTGGTTTTGCATCAGAGTAAAATAAAATAAACCCATCACATTTGGAACATAAGAAAAAAAAAAACATTTCCCAGATAGACTCGATACAATTTTTTTTTTTTTTGCAATAGGTAGCTTAAATCAGATTGGGGCTGCTTAAAATGACTACCAATGGTTCTTATTTCTGTAATATGTTCATGAAAATACCCCTTCAAAAATGCAGTTAATGCATATGTTGCATACTGTTAGGTGCCCAATTTTGTCAGAGCTACAAGAAGTTCCCTACCATGAAAGAGCATCTCTCTAAATTGGTAGAGGTAAAATCCATACATAAGAAACAAAGAGACAGATGAAGGACACTATAAATGAGCAACTCAGTGAAGTTAGCCCACGAAACAAGGGCAGGAGCTATATCCCAATCATCTCCAAAGCTCTCTGGACACTGCTAACAGAGACACTACTAACAGAGAGGTGATAGTTCAGGGTGTTTGGCAGTGTAGCAATTCCTAAAGGATTTAAAAATCTCCTAAATTAAAGTGGATTTTTGTTTAGACAAGTCTTCAGTAAGGAGGCATTTCTTTTTTCCTTCTTTCTCCTACTGCTTTCAGCCCTCAGTACATTTCCTATTCCACCATGAGCTAGTGAGGGAAACAGACATGAGGGAGCATTTCCTCTAGGGAAGTCTGGTAGCTAGGATGCTCTTGGCCACCAGAGAAAACCCACTCAAGTAGACAGAATAAAAAGGAAATCCCCTATCTCACAAGATAGGAAACAGTGAGGACGGGTTCCAGGTGTACTGGGGTTAGCGGTTTCTGCCAATAGACCAGGTTCCTTTATCTGGCATCCACCGGCTCCCTCCTCAGGCGGGTAGCAATATGGCTGCTGCAGTCACAGGAGGCGCTGTCCCAGATACAGACAAAGTAGAGAGCAGGGGCAGGCAAACTGTGACCCGTGGGCCAAATCCAGACCATCACCTGATTCTGTAAGTAAGGTTTTATGGGGACATATCTCTAGGAGTTCCTTTACATATTGTCTGTGGCTGCTTCCACTCTATAACAGAAGAATTGAGTAGCTGAGACCAAGAATTTGAAAAGTTCTCCGAAAGCCAGGCCAGACCAAACCACTGCTGCGCATCACTCACATAGCCAGTCCTGCCTCTAAGGAGCCATCCATCCATCCACCCGCCCGTTGACCCGTACTTTCACAAACATTGCTGGGATACTGCGTCTCTGCATGGGTACTTTCAGCTGAGGTGCACACACACTCACACACATGCATGCACATACACACAGAGCACTATTTTAAGAGAAAGAGATCCCAGACACTTGATTCTCAGAAACTTGTTTCTGAACTGCTTGACCCTTAACATTCCTAAACCCGTTTCTTTTTTTAAAGATTTTATTTATTTATTTGACAGAGAGAGACACAGTGAGAGAGGGAACACAAGCAGGGGGAGTGGGAGAGGGAGAAGCAGGCTTCCCGCCGAGCAGGGAGCCCGACGCAGGGCTCAATCGCAGGACCCTGGGACCGTGACCCGAGCCGAAGGCAGACGCTTGATGACTGAGCCACCCAGGCGCCCCCAAACCCCTGTTTCTTCTTGCTCCCAGTCCTTGGACTAATCATTCTCTAACCTGTCCTCCTCCTTCAGGCTCAGGTGTCTTCTTCATGGGGCTGCCTTGCATACTGAGCCTGATAGTTTAATAAACTAAGACTGCGACGGTGCCAGGCCTGGCGAAGAGAGGAAGGGAACTTCGAATAGCATCATGGAGGGTCTCCTGTGAGCCACGCATGACTCCAGGCACACTACACGCTTCCTAGCTTCACATCTGAAGTCAGGGGCAGGCAGGCAGGCAGGCAGGCAGGCAGGCCTGCAGCTGGGGACGGGTATGTGGAAGGACCCTTTCATTAAGAGTTCCTAGAGAAAGATTGTTTCTCCAATTTGTTTAACAATTAACTGGGATCTTCTTATGCTCAGGCTCCTGCTAAACTAGATATTCTTTCTAGTCTTTCCCTTTCCTAGTTTCTCTGAGGCCTTGGAAAATTAAAATCAGAGTGAAACCAGAGATGGCTCTGAAAAAATATTCCCTGACTTATTCTTAAAAGGGCCTTGTGCAAAGTGTTAACAATACCGAACCCAGAGGGAATGATATCAGTTCTCTGGGAAATGAACTGTGAAGAGAACCATCATTTTTTTTTTGAGCATCTACTATGTGATTTGTATATTAATCCCATCTCATATTCACAGTAAGCCTGTGATATATTGAAATTACTTAAAAATAGTATTCACTGCAAAATGCAGAAAAGCTAACTACAGTGACAAAAAATTAAGTAGTGCAGTAGGTGATGCTGGCATCGATTCAGCTTCTCAGCGATGACATCTAGTGATGACAACTAGTTCCTTTTTCTGCATCATTAACCTTAGCAAGTTGACATTCAGTCTTATGCTTGTCGTCTCTTAATTGCAAGATGGCTGCCTCAGCTCCAGATATCACTTCCACATTCAAGGTAGAATTAAGAGGGAAGTACAGGGCTGGCCACATTAGTCTCCATTTTATCAGGAAAGCAGAAACTTTCCTAGAAACCTACTAATGAGACTTCTACGTAGGTATCATTGGCCAAAGCTGGATCGCATGGATACCTTTAGTTGCAGAGGAGCTGGAGAAAATCGGAATAGAATTGTCAGGTGCCCTTAGACTACGGATGGGCAAACAACAACCAAATCTGGACCACGGTCTGTTTTTGTAAATAAAGTTTGGTCTCAACACAGCCGCACGCATTCATTTATGTACCGTCTCTGGCTATTTTCATGCAACAGCAGCAGAGTTGTGGCAAAGAGTCAAGGGTCTGCCAAGTCTAATTATTTACTCTCTGCCCTTCTGCAGAAACGTTTACCAATTTCTGCCATAAGCCACTCATGAGCCATCACCTAGGTTAGGCACTTCTCTTCTGAAAACAAAACTGGGAGAGCCTCAAGAGCAACAAGAAGAGGACACTGTCATTGGGTAGGCCACTAACATTATCTGCCACACACAGCCACTGTTGTCTGTTTTAGATGAGGAGATTGAAGACCATAAAGGGAAGTAAACTGCCCAAGGACTCAAGTTGAATGAGTACAGTCCAAGTTCAAACTAAGGGCCCTCTGAATTCATGGTTTTCTGATCATATCCTATTTTTGTGAGTTTTCCCATCTGTAAAGGGGCTGTGAGATACTCACCTGTTATTCAATTCAGTTCTTAAATGAGTTGTACAAAAGGGCAGAGGGCCAATGGATCTATCTTAATAGCTTTGCAAGATAATTAAGCATTTACTTTTAAGTTGTATTTTTTTCAAAGATTTTATTTATTTGATAGCAATCACAAGCAAGGGGAGTGGCAGGCAGAGGAGAGGGAGAAGCAGCCACCCACCCGCCTCAACTGAGCCAGGATCCTGATGCAGGACTCGATCCCAGGACCCTGGGATCATGACCTGAGCCGAAGGCAGTTGCTTAACCGACCGAGCCACCCAGGTGCCCCTTAAATTGTATTTTAATACTCATTTCCCATCTGGTTGTCTTTCAACTACGTGTATACACAAGCTGATAGACCCTGATCTAGTTTAGATAGGTTTTTCTCATCTTTTCTCCCCAGCACTTGACATAGCGCCTAACACGTAATGAGGGCTCAATACATTTGTTTGTCGTAGCCCCGACCCCATAATGTCTCACACCAAGTAAATATATGCCATTCATGGTTGCATATATTATGACCCTGGTGAGGCTGTTAATTACATCAGTGGATACCCACTGTGCAGTCAAAGTAGACAGAATGACAGAATGACATCCCTGCCCCCACCCTTGGCCCCTTGAAACTGAAAGTGATTGCAGTTGTGGTATTTAAGGGCAACGGGAGTCACCTTTGGCCTGGCCAGCCAATGTCATCTGTTTGTGGTGGCCACAGCATCCATGTCAAGCTCAGGCTTCAAACTTGGGCTGCCTCTGTCCCTTCTTTTCCTCTGCCTGGAAACAAGAGCATGAGGAGTAGCACAGCCAAGAACAGCATACTCTGGGACAAACGAAAAGGGCAAAGCTTTGAAACGACGAAAAGGAAGGCTTTCACAAATCCATGTTTCTTCTTTTTTTCCTCTCCTTTTCTCCACAACTCAATTTAAGGGAACCGGGAGATACCATGTCCCTTCTTCCCATCTTCCATTCCAGAAATCTTAGGCTTCCTCAAATGCTCTCCACCTCTCTTGCTTGCAGGAATTAGCCATTTCTTTAGCCTGGAAGATCCTTCTTCTCCCCTACCCCCTTCACCCTCATCAAGCTAACTCCACTTCTGAGGATTGACTTTGGCATCGCCTTTCTCCAGAAAGCCTTCCTCCATTAGTTGACAATGCCCCCTGATATCACAGCCATAGCCCTCTGTGCCCTGGACCTAATTGTCTGCCTCTTTGTCTCTTGTATGAGTCTAGAAGCAAAATCGATGAGGGGCCACATCCCGCTTATCCTCCAGGCTCAGTTAATAACCGGCAAAGCAAAGAATGAAGAACAGGACGAAGATTTCATCAAGCTCCTCGGCCTTCCCCTGGGCAAGCCAGGGGACTCCTACCCACCTGTGATTCCCTCTTCCTGGAGGTTTCTATTTGCTCCTCAGACTATGGAAACTGTTCAGCTGAACACGTATCTTTGTTTGGAGATTGTATCTGCGTCCTTCACCATGGGGTGTCATTTTCCTCCATCTCTCCAGCCAGGCATTCCTCAACTGCCAGAGCTGCGCACCTCAGCTCTTGAAGTGGTGGAGCCTGGCATTCTGGACAGAGAGCAAAAGCTCCAATGTAATCTCGCCTTCTTTCAGGGCCACTGACCAGAGGGAACAACAACAACAAAAAAGCACTGATTGGGCTCTCCTGATGCAGACCAGCCAGTGGCTCTGTAGTTTCCTTCTGTGTTTAAACTTCCTTATCTGGCCTTGCTAGCAAATCAACAAGCCTGCAGGTCAATGCGGGATTATCTCCAGAGCTGGTGCTTCAAAGAGATCTGCGCACACCATTCCCCTGGGTCAGATAGCTGTGTCAGCGAGAGGCCCCGCATAATTGGGAGCACTCAGCTCCACACACAACACAACCCATTAGCTGTTTTTTAAGAGCAAGGTTTATTTTTATTTCTTCCCATTATAAAGTGAATCAGTGCTCGTTATTAGAAAATCTGACAAAAAAACAAAAAGTGGACAGAAAAAAAATTCCTTAATGATTTAGCGTATTTGATAGGTCTTGCTTTAAGTATTTCACTAGGTTACTTCTTCAATAGTTGTAATTATATACGTTTTGCAATAAGTATAAATTTGTATTCTGGCTTTTTTTAAATTTAAAAATAGAATAGGAATATTTCCCCGATTTTTTACATTCTTGGATAAAGTTTCCATAGTAGCATAATATGTATAATTGATTAATTTGTTTCACTGTTTCCTCATTGTTAGGTATTTACATGGGTTCCAGTACTTTTCATCTGAATTGTCATGAATGCCATTGAGCATAAAGTGTTTTCTATATGTTTAATTCTTTCCTTAGGCTGAATTTCCAGGAGAGATCAAATGATAGAAATATTTAAGTTCTTGGCTTATGTCACAGGACGATTTGATAGAAAGGTTCTACCAGCTTATGCTTGTGTCAGCATGTTAGAGAACGCCAGTATATTTCACCCTAGCCAAAACTAGATAGTCGACTTTGATATTGTATAGTTTTCTTACTTGATAGGAAAAAAAATCATCGGAGGTGTAACTTGCATTTCTTCCATTATTAATGAGGTAAATATTTTTTCTCAAGTAAGTGTTTCTTCTTGGACATCATCATCTATTTATATCCTTTTTCCCCAACTTCATTTGGTCCTTGAATATTTTTCTTGTTAATTTTCATGTGCATTAATTCTTATCTTGCATATATACTATAAATACCATCTTTTCATTTGTTGTTTTCCATTTCATTTTGGTTTGTTTAGGATACAGAATAACATTTTTTGTACTTCAATGTATTGCTTTTTAACTTCATATTATCTTTTGTGACTTTGACACTTGAATAGCCTTCCTCCCAGATATTGGATAACCATTCTTTTCTTTGTTTGCTTTGATTATGTTTGTTTGTTTGGCTCAGGAGGGTAGTGATTAAGACCGCAAAATCTAGAGTGAGACTTCCTGACTCAAATACCAGCTCTGCCACCCACCAGCTCTACAATGTGGGTCAAGTTACTTAAACTCACAGCACCTCAATTTTCTCATGTGCAAAATGGGGACACTAATGTACATGCAACTCAGACAGTTGCTATGATGATTAAATTTGGTAATATACTGGGACATCTGGGTGTCTCAGTTGGTTAAGTGCCTGACTCGTGATTTCAGCTCAGGTCTTGATCTCGGGGTCGTGAGTTCAAGCTCCGTGTTGGGCTCCACGCTGGGCATGGAATCTACTTAGCAAAAACAAAATAAAATAAAAAATTAGGTAATATATGTAAAGCACTTAGAACTGTTCTTAGAGGCTTATAGCAAGTGCTATGGAAGTGCTGTCTATTAATATTTAAGTACTGTAGATTTATATTGTTTTAGAATCTGTTAGAGCTACTGTCTCTTTTCCTGTTTTAAAAAATTGCTTATTTTTCTAAAGTTTCTTGGATAGTTGTACCTACTTGCTTTTCAGGATGAAATTTCAGTCACGTTCTGAAAAAGATTTCCAATGAGAATTGTAGTGGCCTTGCTTCGTCTACTTTTATGTGGCCTCTACAAATCTGTATAGCATGGTCAGAGGCAGGGGTGTTGTGGTTAAGAGTAGGAATTAAAGTATCAGATACACCTGGGTTTGTGTGCATCTCAGTTCTGTCCCTTTCTAGCAGACAGGTTACTTCCCTGAGATTTAGTTTCCTTATCTCTAAAACAAAACAGAAGTAGTAATAATAGAAATCGCCATAACCCAAATGTCCGCCAACTGATATATGGATAAACAAAATATGATACATCTATACAATGGAATATTCTTTGGTTATACAAAGGAATCAAGTATGATATAGGCTACAACACAGGTGAACCTTGAAAACACGCTCAGTAAAATAAATTCACATATTGTGTGATTCCATTTATATGAAACATACAAAATAGGCACATCTGTAGAGATAGAAAGTAGATTCATAGTTGCTTAGAGCTTGAGTAGATGGGGAAACTGGAGAGTAATAATGAAGGAGACTCGTGAAGTCTCATATAGTTTCAACTGACTGATGTAGGAAGATTGTGTGTCTGCAGCCTTATTGCAAAGGAGACAGACTACTACATTGGCAAATCTGCAACTGAAATATGGGAATTTCCCCTAACATAGAAAGGCTATTCAGAAGACACTGGTCAGTCATTATAATCTCTACCTACTATAAGAACAAAGAAACCCCCAGAAAACCCAGAATCTAAGGTGTGGGCAGAGGAAGAGGATCCAGAGAAGAATACCAAGGAGGAAAGATGATAGAGATGGAAAGAAAATTTAAAAAGAAACATAAGGAGGGTGTCTGGGTGGCTCAGTCGGTTAAGTGTCTGCCTTCGGCTCAGGTCATGATCCCAGGGTCCTGGGATCGAGTCCTGCATCAGGCTACCTGTTCAGCGGGAAGTCTGCTTCTTCCTCTCCCTCTGCCTCTTCTCCCAATGGTACTCTCTCTCTCAAAAAAAAAAAAAAAAAATTAAAATCTTTATTAAAAAAAAGAAAGAAAAGTAATGGAAGAAAATTGATTAAAGATTTTCAAGAAGGAGAGAGCAGTGATCAAGAGGACTAGTATTATACCGAAGGCAAATCAAATAAAGGCTGAGAATTAGCTACTGGCTTTAGCCATTAAGAGGTCATTCATAGCCTTAGTAAGAGAAGTTTAATTGGTATGGTGAGGAGGAACCCTAACTTCAGTGGGCTGAAAAGGAAGTGGAAGATGATGTGGTAAAGATATATACTCTCTCAAGATTTGGGGATCTTGTCTCAACATGTACATGTTGTAATAAACATCACATTTAATCCTTGTAAAGCCTTATGAGGTAGGGACTGTTATTACCCTATATTATACATGTAAACAGGCTTTAAGACCCAACGTCATGTGAGGGGCAGATCTGGGTCTTACACCCCAACCTGTTTGACATCAGAGTCAGAAAGAACTCAGGCACTCAGTCACACTGCCAACATTTATAATAGCTGTGTGTTTTAGGGCAATCCCCATAATCACAGATTCTCAGAATAGGAAGAGATGTGAACTCTCTTTCTTTTCTTGGTCCTACTTTGTAGACCCTTAAAGTCAGAATATATCTGTACCCCATCCTCCCATCATACAATGTTTATTCCTCTGTTGTATTTTTTTTAATAATTTTTCCTTTTTCTGATAATAGAACTCTGATTTTTTTTCCTTTGAGGATTCATCCATTCTCTCAACCTTGGTCCACTTGCTTTGGCAGGTGCTGACTCCACCCTTGTCCCCAGGGCTGGGCAAGTCACACAGTCTTCAACAATTGGACCATGGCATCCCTGTGGCCACTGTGAAAAGTTTAGGGAGAAACTTGCAAACAAATCCAAGCCACTGCAATTCACATCTGAGACTTACATCACTCTGTTTTGGAAAAGAAGTCCTATTTTCTGTTAAGACTTCCATCTGGGTGAAGACAGACCTGGAGCTGTGGGAAGCCATCTTTCCTTCACATAAACTGCAAGTGAAGCCTACACTTGGGAGAACAGATCCAAAAGGTGGAGAGAGTTGGGGTCCCAATGAGTACTTAGATCAAGCCTCATATAAGCCCAACACTTCTTGCCTTTTCATTACATGAACTAATAATTTTTGTTTGTTTAAGTCCATTTGAATGGGATTTTTCTCTCACTTGATGCTAAGAAAGAGCTAATGCATAACATCACTGCCTGCTTTGTAGTTTCTCCTCCAATAGAATGTTACCCATAGAGTGCCTTAATCCTGCCCGTTTTTCTCTTTGCACTCCACCCCACCAATGCCTAGGATGACATCTTATATGCAGCAGGTATTCAGTAAATGCCTGAGGGGTTTAGTAGAATTGAGTGTGGACTGATTCTGCAACATTCCCCAAAGTTGCTTCAGAAAGACTTCCTTTCTATTAAGCTTGCTGACAGTCACCTCTGTCTACTAACCACAAAAGTAATCTGCAGAAGATGTTCCAAATATTTGATCTTTCTTTTTGTTTGAATTCATGTTGAACTAGAATTTAGTGTAAACATATACCTGGAATGCTCACTACACACTCCAGCAAAATAGCTTGGAAGATGCAGAGTGCATTGCTCTATCAGTGGCTCAATAAAATGATTTGTTTACTTTCTGTCTTTTATTAAAAAAAATAATAATAACTGGTTTTTCTCTGGGGCTTGATTCCTTTCGCACAAAGGGACTGACATCCTCTCAAATAAAAAAGGACTAGAGAAGTAGGACACTTTATATTTATTATTGTGAACGTTTTGAGCAATTCTCTACCAAAATGGCCATGACCTTTG